GCGGGAGATTTTGACGTTCCAGAACGACATAATATCTCGGGAAATAGCTCCGCGGGGAGATATGACGTTCCAGAATGACATAATATCTCGGGAAATAGATCCGCGGGAGATATGACGTTCCAAAACGACATAATATCTCGGGAAATAGATCCGCGGGAGATATGACGTTCCAGAACGACATAATATCTCGGGAAATAGCTCCGCGGGGAGATATGACGTTCCAGAATGACATAATATCTCGGGAAATAGATCCGCGGGAGATATGACGTTCCAGAATGACATAATATCTCGGGAAATAGATCCGCGGGAGATATGACGTTCCAAAACGACATAATATCTCGGGAAATAGCGCGGAGATATGACGTTCCAAAACGACATAATATCTCGGGAAATAGATCCGCGGCAGATATGACGTTCCAAAACGACATAATATCTCGGGAAATAGCTCCGCGGGGAGATATGACGTTCCAGAATGACATAATATCTCGGGAAATAGATCCGCGGGGAGATATGACGTTCCAAAACGACATAATATCTCGGGTAATAGCTCCGCGCGGAGATATGACGTTCCAAAACGACATAATATCCAAAACGACAGAACTCCGCGCGGAGATATGACCTTCCACATCATCACGTTTGTTTTTCAAAATAGAGGATTTTTTGGATTTCCTTTTTTTGATGCCAATCGTTAGAACTGATTACCCGAGATATTGTGCGCAGGAACTAGGAGCACCTACATCTAAAATTTCAAGTCTATAGCTCTTATATGCTCTGAGATCCGTGCGTACATACATACGGACGGACGGACAGACGGACATGGCTAGATCGACTCGGCTATTGATGCTGATCGAAAATATATATATACTTTATGGGGTCGGAGATGCGTACTTCTGCCTGTTACATACATTTGGATTTTGCACAAATACAATATGCCCTTATACCCATTTTTAATGGGTTATGCATTGAAATGAACAGAGAGGCAAATAGAGCTATAATGAGAGAGATAGGGAGAGAGAGAGAGAGAGAAAAGATATGCAAACAGAAAGACGGACATTAAAAAATCAAATTATTTCACCGATGAGTGCGGAAAATGTGTGAAAAAGACACTTTTTAAAAACGAAACCTTATTTACGGACCAAAAATGTGTCGAAAACTGAAGCTCTGCCAGACTGTAAAAGGACCTCTATCTTAAAAGATTCGAAATTATAGTCGGAGCTAAGACAGGGATTCAGAATATGGTATTTCACCCATAAGGGTGGAAAATGTGTGAAAACTTCTTTGAAAAAAAAAAGTCTCTATTTTGGATCTTGAACTTGTGAATCGATAGGAAATTGGCTGAAATTCGTTAAACGAAAATCCTTCTAACATTTCGTGTTCTCTTTTTTCCTTGTGACAGGCTGCTGCAGGAGAGCAAATCATGGAAGCTGGAGCAGAGCAACGCGTGCAAAGTGCAGGCAGCCAACGATGCTGTCCAGGCCACAAAGCAGCTGCGCAAGGAGATTGTCGAGCTGATGTCCCAGCTGCTGCAGCTGGCGAGCCGGCGCAGTGCCCGGGACATGATGCCGCTGTGCAACGAGATGGTGGGCAAGACACGAACGCTGCTCAGCATCTGGGAGCCGAGCATTGTGGAGGAGGCGGTGACCTTCCTTGAGCGTCATCGCATTATCGAGGAGCCGGACAATGTGCTCATGGAGCCCATGTCGCCGTTCCGCAAGATCACCCAACAGCTGAGTGCACTAGAGCTAAAATCACCGGAACTGGAGGATTTCGCTACGCCCGTGGTGGCGCCACCGGATCTGTGGCCACGTGGCCTGCCGCTGATGCGCTCCAACAGCTGGCATCCGAGCAACTCGTCGCCCTCCAGCTCGCTGGACATCAATGCCATTGACACGCTGCAGCATGTGGTCAAGTGCTATAATGCGCATCTGCGCAGCCTCGAGCAGCACCAGGCCGTGCCGTCCCAGGACACACCACAATGCAGTGAGCTGCAGGCCGAGGCCACATATCAATCGCTGCCACCCAGCTGGCAGGGCGTGCCCACAGAGTCGGCGACAGAGCTGCCGCCTCTGCAGCTAATCGATCTGGATGAGCGGGCGCAGGCAACACAGCCGCCGGCTGGCTTTCTGGACACCAAGCTGATGAGCTCCTCGCCGTCGGCGAACTATTATCGGCCCACCGAGGAGCCGGAGCCGCTTGATCTAACCCAGTTAAATATAGAGGCGAGCGTCATGTGTCTGGTCAGCAAGCTGAAGTTCTTTTGTGGCCGTTGCGACAGTCCTGCCATACGGTTGCGGCATCCCAAGGTGCCGCTAAAGCGCGAGGGCTTCACGGTGGCGCCCCAACAGGCGCCCGACGTAATAGCCGCGCCCACGGCTGCGCCGTCGCAGCAGCTGAAACTCGATCTGGCACCTGCACTTGCCACCGCGCCGGCACCGGCACCGGCACCCAAGAAGGGCAACAAATTCACCGACGGCCTGGATCTCTCGCTGACCACCGATTGGGTGGGTGAGCTGCGTCCCAGCATGCGCAAGCTACGCCATGCCATGGATCGTCTGCTGAAAACGGCCCGGCTCATGCATTCCGTGCAGCGTTTGCAGCAGGATGTGCGCTGCAATCGCGTCCAGGCGAGCATCATGTACCGACGGGACGTATGCTTCTCGCAGGCGGTAAGAGTTCATGCCAATAGATAAGGCTACAAACATCATCAAGTCTTATTTCGAGATTGTACTTTGTGTGCCTTGTAGCAAGCGACTCGAAGTACAAATGTTAAGCAAAACGAGAGACAAGGGTTATGTTACCTTCTCATAATGCTCATAGTCCATATCTAAACAGTACAGGGATAAAAAGTTAATGCGAGTATGGTTAAGATTTCTTGATCAATTTCGACCGATCGTTCCTATATCAGCTTTGTTATATAGTGGTCCGATTTTGATAGGATTGCGCTTATATATGCAAAGCATAGTAAAATAAGTAAATGCCGAGTTTGGTCAAGATATCTTGAACAACGAAAAAGTTTTCCATACAAGAACCTAATTTTCGACCGATCGTTTCTATATAGTGGTCCGATCCAGCCGTGCGGCAGCAAGAGACACTTCTGCAAAGTTTCATGACGATAGCTTTAGAGAACTGAGATGCCAGTTCGCATAGAAACAGACAGACAGACGGGCATGGCTATGTCGAGTCGGCTGTTGATACTGATCAAAAATATATATATTCGTCCGTCCGTCCGTATGTGTTCATACATACATGCAAGGATCTCAGAACATATAAAAGCTATAGACTTTAAATTTTAGGTGTAGGTGCTCCTAGTGCCTGCGCAGATTGAGTTTGTTTCCGATAATCGATAACTTACTCCGTTTCGAAGCAATCGAAAAAAATCGATATCGATATCCTGTTTTTTGGGCAATTTTGGTATTGCATATGATGTTGGAAGAAGAGGGTTCAGGGTATCCGCTAGTCGGTAGCTCCTGACTAGAACCTCTTACTTGTTGACACTTGCTTTTGGACAGAATTCCAATTCGAATACGAATTGGTTATCGACCAACGATAAATGGCAATATTTATCGATTTCGAACTGATCCAATATTATATATACTTTTCTGATAAAAACTTTAATAATAGTATTTAATCCCGCACAGTTGACGGCTTTGGTCTGCGCCCTGATGCTCCGGCTGTGGGGCAGAGAGCTGGATAGCGCCTATTTGTCGCTGCTGCGCGAACTCGGCCCGCTGGCGTACTTTGAGGGTCTGCTATCGCTGTACGGCTCTGAGACGGATATGTGGAGCGACATGTGCGTAGCCATTGAGGATTTGTCGGCGGTTAGCTTTACGCTGGTGGCGGCGGCGCAGGGCGAGTTGACGCCCATGCCGCGCATAACGGGCTCGCGCCAGGCACTGGCGGTGCTGCTGCCGGTGCCGGAGCACGTGCTGCCCACCACAACAATTAGCTTTAAAATCACGCCCGTCTTCTTCAACATTGGCATCAATGAGAAGGCGACCCTGGGCCAGACGCGCGAACAGCATCGCTCCAATCTGGACAATTATGTGCGGCTGAGCCAGTACTTCAGTCGCTACCGCAAGCTGGGGCTGAATGCGACGGGCGCAGCGGATGCCAGCTCATCGGAATGGGAGTCGCTGCAATCGGTGCTCGGCTATATGGAGCAACAGCTGCGCGCCAACGTGTCCAAAAACGTAAAGATACTGCATTTGGCCGAGGATGCCTGTCGTCTGATGGGCGGACTGCGCTTTACCTCCTGCAAAAGCGCCAAGGATCGCACCGGCATGGCCGTCACCCTGGAGCAATGCCGTGTCCTGGTGCGTGAATTCCAGCTGCCTGCTAAACATGTGCCCTTCGCACTGAGCACCATGCGCAGGTTGTATACGCTATCCAAATCGAATCGAACTGATCCCGTACAGCATTTTTCTTAACTAATCGTATTTCGTCTTTCAGCGAGGGCACACGCATGGATAATGTCTACAAGAATATTGGCAAGCACAAGTATGCCTTCAATCTGCCTCAGGTGATTATGCTGCCGGCCATGTATAGGCCACCTGTGGGCGCCTATGGCAAAGCCCAGACCTAGGCCCCAAAGAGTTTCCGGTTGCAAATTGTTTTTAGGCTAAGTCAAAGCAGGTGACCCCGAGTACTTATGAGAAACATTTATGACATATATATATATATAAATATATATATAAACTGTGCCAAAAAATCAAACAAACAAGTTAATCAACTCTTGCAAAATGCAAGCAAAAAAACAAAACTAACAAACTAATTAAATTAGAGAGAGAGAGAGAGAGAGAGAGAGAGAGAGAGAGAGAGAGAGAGAGGGAGAGCGCGGGAAATACGAGTAGAAGGAAGAGTCTTCGCCTTCGAGCGAGGCGTTTGTTAAACGCATTAAACAATTCCATAGAGAATATATATACATACATACTTATATATATATATATATATATAGGTTTAGCTTTCCTCTATTTATGTACGTATTTATTTAAACTATTATGTAATTTATAAACACGCTTCACTCGGCATGTTACTTGTGGCAGCGCAACGTGTACTTCATTGATTCAATTCCGTGTACTTCCAGCAAAAGAAATGAACTTGTTAATCAAAATAAAATAAAACACAACAAAATAATTCACTGTGCATTTGATGGACTTGGTTGGGCTTAGTAATCCTGAACGCGTCCGGTGCCCAGTCGCCGTTTGCGTATCTCCGTTTTTAGCCAGGACGGCACATCGCGTATGGGATGGGCATTGGGGAAGCGCAGCGGCTGCTCTGGTCCCTCGAACGGATGCGTTTGGGACAGCTTGCGCTGTAGGTACTCCTTGTTTAACTGCTTGCTATCACGATGCTTGTCCATGTACAGATTGAATGGCTGCCTGAGCGGAAAGAATTTCTGATCTGCTAGATATGGCTTCGGGTAGTCGTACTCGTACACCGGTTCCTTAAGTTCTGCAAAAGACACCACATAGGTGCTCAAATCCAAAGCAATTGGCAATGCCTGCCCAACTTACGCAAAACATTGTGATAGAACTGTGTGAGGGATTCGTCCCAGTTGGTCTGATAGAAGGCCAGTCCCGCCGGTGTCAGCTCATCCTGGTGCTGGCGATAAAAGTCAAGTGTGCTAAAGGTGCGCTTCTCCAGATTGTTGTAGTCCGTGGCAGCCAGTTTGTGTGCGCTGAAATCTAGGCGGGATTGCTGCTTGTACAGCACAAACACCATGCGCTGATAGCCCACGCCCCTGGGCGGAAAGGGCGGCAGATAGTCGGCCAGAATCTCGCCCTCGCCGACCTTGCCATTTGGTATGTTGGCGCTATTATAAACATGTGCATATTATAGACTGAGCAACAAGAAAAGCTGCGCTTTTGGAAACGTACATAAACCAGTGCAGGCACTCGGCTCCAGGATTGGTGTAGTGTGCATCGGGATTTGTGGCCAGCAGTGTCCAGTAGCTGTCACCCTGCGCCGATTTGGACGTTATCGGATCCAGCTTTCCGTCGAAGATGACCAAAGGCGCTTTGGCCACCTCGGCGGGCTTAAGCACATTGCCATTGTACACGGGACTAAAGGTGTCGGCATTCAGCTCATAGCGTATGCTCAGCGGCACGCGCGGCACAAAGTAGGCGCTGCCAAACAGATGCTCGAAGATGCCATAGTGATCGGCCAGTAGGCGCAGATCATGCTGGCCCGTGGTCTGCACGTAGGTCTCCTGCACCTTGTCCAAATCGATCAGCACTGTAAACGCAACAAAGTCGGCCGGCATATTAGAGATGGGTCAAGCAAATACAAGGCTACATACATTTATTGCTGCGCGCCAGCTGCTCCAGCTCCTTGCTGGCACGCTGTGCCTTTAGATGCTCCAGACGCGTCTTTAACTGTGCCGATCGCGATGGCTTCAGCTGCGGAAATCCAATGTTGACGCGCGCCACGACTTCCGGATCGCTAACGTTTTCATCTGTTGACCCAATAGTCAGTTAGCAGTTGGGCGCTGTGGTTACATCAATTGCACTTACCTCGCAGCCGTTGCTCGAGCGTTCGTGCCACACCGGGCGGCTTGCCACGCAGCGTGTGCCCCTGTCGCGTGCTCAGATTGAGTAGCAGCAGCGCTGTGGTCTGTGTGCCGCACAAGCCGCCATTTACGCCGGTTTTCATTAATAAATTACAAAAAGACATGCTGTTTTATAAGCAGGCGGCCCCTCGCGTTTTCGTCAACTGCTCAGCTGTTGGCGGCCGATAGGCGATAAATAGATAGCAGCTCGCAACCAGTGTTGAGCAGTCTCTGCTTTAATTTGTACTTTTTCGCGTGATCTGGCAGCTCTATCGGACTTCAATGGCGCTCGTTAATTTCAATTTTGTTTGAATTGCAATAAGCAAGAAATCGCTGCATTATATTAGCAAAAAGTATCGCTAGCAAATATAAATATACAGATTGCAGATAGTTGGGTTAAATAACCAAGCTCTAGCCGTAACCAAAACATATTTTAGCAGACTTTAAGGTGTTTATAGAATTGAACGAAAAATGGAAATTATGTCAAGTTAGCTATTACTGTTGGTTTTGTTATATCGTATTACAACACCGCCGCCAGCTCTCACCTTTTCAACTAATGAATGTATATGAAGCGGGCATTCTTTGTTGTTTACATTATATTACTGACGTACGACTATAACGTGCGTGACCGTGAATGTACCCATATTATATTTCCAATTGGTATTTTTCTCCATTTCCGGTTAAGCTATAACTTTGTGCATTTGTAATTCAATCAGCGTAATTTCATTAAGTTCTGTATTTCCCCATCGCATGATCTGAAAAGAAGAATCGGCGCCTTTAAAAGCTAAACAGCTATTTGTGTCATTATATAGATGGGTCAACCGACAAACAGAAATAAATTGTGTTAATCGATTGTATATAAATACTTTTGCAGTCAGAGATTACTCTGGTAACGTAATAGCTGCTTCTAACGGGGAAAAATTGCGCAACACTGTTTTATGGGTGCCGGTGACGAGCCTCCTACACACACGCACACCACGATGTTTTCCATACACATATACATATGTATATTAGTGGGCGTTGTTATACACAAACAGGCACAGCAAACCAGTTTGCATGCGCGCCGTATAACAGTTGGTGCTGCCGCTGTCGCTGTCGCTGCCGCCGCCGCCGCAGCGGCCGTTGTCGTCGCGTCGGCGCTCGAAAAGGACAAACTCAAGGGCAATCCATTGCTCAGGCCGAACAAAGGCCCGTCTGACAGGAGTGCCGCACTCTAGGTGAATGTAAAATTAAAGCGAATTTCTTAAAATATATATGCATGCTTTATGGGAATGCAATAAAAAACAATACAATGGTCGTTAATGTGGGTGGATGGGTTCAAACAATTGATGCGATTACACAAGCAGCATTGCCACATACGTCATGCCGCCATCCAATGTCCTTTCACCTAATTTTGAGAGTTTGACATTTGTGAGCTGCCCACGCCGACAAAAACGCCCACACACACACGCGTCACAAGCACGCTCCCAACCTCGCTCTCGCTCTCGCTCTCCCGTTCTATCGCTCTCTGCAGCTCTCTATCTCTCTTCGTCATGACTGTTTGAGGTTATGTCAAGGCGGTTTAATAATATTACAACATTTCGGTTTGTTTCCATTGCAAAAACGCAAAGTCAATGTCAATTGCCTTGCGGCTGCTTATGCATAGTTATTTGTTGTTATTCGCTTTTCTTTCCTCCTATCTCTCTCTAAGTCGGCAGCTTCTCGAAACCCCTCACACCTCCCTCCCATCCCGACCCACACACAACATTTGTGTGGTTTTTGTAAAAATTTCCACTGCGCACGCACCGTAACCGGAATCAGTTCTAGCCGGTTAGCTTCAGTTGTCCGCCCGTTCCTGCGACCCGAGCTGCTGCTGTCGTAACTGGGCTAAGTTCATATCCGACAGCCGGATGAGGCCAGGTAGCTATTGATTGGGCAGGGCATCCTCTTAGGTATACTTCGGGCTTCCAATGCCCCGCGCCAAATGCGAGTTGCCGAAAAAAGAATTCGCCAGAATTGATATATGTACATATATATTGTATACTAGGCAGATATGTGCATTTTTGTTTCGCCATATTTTCACTTCCCGTTCGCCCACCTGCCGCCCCCACAGAGTCGATTAAGTTGCTGATAAGCTGATAAGCACACGTCCGGCCACTTGAACCTATGCCCAATCAGCCCACATACATATACACATAGATCGTACTATAGCGCTAGTCAAGTGCGCTAGATATACATAGCATGTGTACACAGGTATGCACATTGATATTTATATGGAAGAAGCATCAGATAAGGATCTGAGTGTTATTTTTACCTCGTATAGTATTCCAGCCCCATTGAGCGCTATTTCAAGTGGCGATTATCGCACTGAAAACATGAATTAATTTGTTCAGGCAGTGCCATCATCCCGAACCCCGATAGGTTACCCGAACCTACCGTCCTTATCACAATAACAATCCGACGAACGCACGATTTTTGCACTTTCACTTTCACTTTCAGCCACCGCTGGGTAATTGACAGCGATTACATCAAATTGAGTCGAATGCATTTACATTTTTAGCAGTTGCCCCCTCATAGTCTAATCTGTTATGAATGCGCACAGATTAGCTACTAGCATTATGTGAGCAGGTTAGGATGCGAACAACGAACGAACAATCCTCGCTAGTTATAGTTTTTGAAGAGCTAGTCGTCACTTGCTTAAGCCACCAACTAGATCCTACTCGTTACTATGTTGGTAAACTGCACACTGAACTAGCTTTCATTCGGCTCTTCTACTCGTCACTCTTTATGTATAACAACTAGTTTCTACTCGTCACTCGCTAAGTATATTCGACGCTCGCTAGGTATACCAACTAACGGGCACTCGTTCTATATTTGTTTTTACTCTTAGTTCAATCCTTTCTTAACAGCATAACAGTAACTACCGTGTACTCTTCACTAGATTACTCTAAGAAATCGTTTTTGATCGTTAATTACAACTTTCGAACTTCGACCAACGTTCATTTCACGGTTCGAACCTTTACTTCGTCGTCTGTGCCATGTCCAACAAATTGAACAAAATATTTGTATTCTTAATAAATTAGGAATCCTTACTAGATAATATCATATCCGTAGCTAGCGTGTACTCGTCACTTTTGAGCACTCGTTACTCGTTGAAAACTTCTCGTCGCGTGTTTCTTTCAGAGTTTCACTCAATTAGATAACATCAAAGTCGTAGCTTGCGTGTACTCGTCACTTTCGTGCACTCGTTACTCGTTGAAAACTTCTCGTCGCGCAATTCTTTCAGAGTTTCACCCAACTAGATAACATCAAAGTCGTAGCTAGCGTGCACTCGTCACTTTCGTGTACTCGTTACTCGTTGAAAACTTCTCGTCGCGTAAATCTTTCAGAATTTGCAATCACCCAGTGTATTTCAGTAACGAATTCTTCGTGAATTCTTTGAAACAGTCACTCAGCGAATTCGCATACCATTCCCTGATCGCATTGTCTATATGGCCCAGCTGTAAATGTGTTTATTGTTTATAATCATAAACAAGATTGTGCCACGAGCTGTTTATGCTTATATCTGTGCTTATGTATGTACACATGTTTCTAGGTGTTGGTGTGTGAATGTGATTATGAATAGGTGGGGGTCTCTATATAGACGCCAACTCGCCTACGTACGGGCCTGCATTCGATACGACGCGGACTGGGATCGTCTCGACTTTTGACCAATTGCCAGCACGGGCTGTTTTCACTTACGATGCGAGCTTATCAGCTTGAACAGCGACCAGTTCCCTGGACGGGCAAATCTCGTGACGTCTCACATTGTCTGAGGCCATCGGTTTGCCAGTTTCGAGCTGTGGGCCGCGTCATGTTCATGAACTTTGCCTACTTGTGCTCAGATATTGCGCAGTTTTTACAGCGAAATTGCCACTCAGACGTATTTTATTTACGATTGCCGTCTCCTATTGCATTCTCAAATAGTCAATGAGACGTAACCATGCCCAACAAAGTTGTTGTACAAAATACGGATTCATATTTTTTTTACGATGCGCCCATTTTCAATTCGTATATGATATTCTCGAAACCCGCCGATATTGTTGACACCAAATGTCGTATATAGATTATGCTATACTATGATCAAATTATCACTAATTCCACAAAATCGATAAATATCGATTCGGCAGATCTTGCGGAAAATAACAGCTAGAGGAAGCACATTTTAAATATAGGCAGGTCATGATTAATTTATATTTATGCCCAAAAACGATAAGTATCGGAACACGCTTAAACTATAATCGATAAGTATCGATTAAGCGCATCTGATCGATAAATATCGATTCGGCATATCTTGCGGAAAATAACAGCTAGAGGCAGCATATTTTAAATAAAGGCAGGTCATGATTAATTTATATTTATGCCCAAAAACGATAAGTATCGATTCGGAAAATGCTTAAACTATAATCGATAAATATCGATTAAGCGCATCTGATCGATAAATATCGATTCAGAGACAGATAAATGAGCTGTTTGCATACTTAACATTTGGACTCTCATATTATCTTTTTAACTTTAATAGCAAGCAGCCTTTTATCAGCTACATTTAGCCGGAGGATAATTGCTCTTGTCAACAGCGGCAAATGCCTAATAAGAGAGTATCTAAATAAGCCGAACTGATGGTAATTGTGATCTAGTTGCATTTGGCAAATCGTTCTTTGAACCTGAAAATCAGAAATGAGTGCAATTCGATTGCAGTCAGTTTCAGTTGCAGTAACAATAACAATAACAGTTGCAGTTGCAGTTGCCGTCGCAGTTGTAGACAATAACAAAATAGTTGTTAAATGACAGAGTCAAAACAATTTCGCTGAATGAATGAACGACTGTCAATAAACAATGATAATGCATAAACAACAAACCGAACGATACACAAACACATATTTACATAAATGCATGCTAATGGGCATGCCAAAGTAACCTGTTTCGGCACTATGGCCTACCAAATGACCTGCATATGTTTATTATGCATTGTAATTAATTATAATATTTTAATTAAATAATAATATTAAGAAAAAGGCTGTCAACGTAGCCAAAGTCAGCTGGGCTAACTATCACGGCCAGACTTTTGAACCATCGTGTGGTGCGGTTCACAGTTCAAAGCAATGCCCAGCCCTTAAATTCGACTCATTCGGCTGGTCTTGAACCAAGCTTGGCTTAAGCCCGAA